AGGTGGTAAGACATGGCAATGTAGAATCAATAGATGATGGAAAGACTAGAGCCTCAAAAAATCCTCCAGCAAACAGTACTTACCCTCCTCAACCAAGAAAAGGATTTTGAAGGAAGACAAATTGTTTCTCATAGTTGGCCCTGTAGTCTAGTTTTATTTTAATGGTAAAAGAAACTTACTTTAAAAAAAATATGTGTATGTATACACACACACACACACACACATACACAAATATGTGTGTACTCAAATTACCTTCCATAAGTACATGAGAAAAAATTCAGTTCAGTGAAATGAAAACTGATCTTAACATCTATAATATATAAAAATTGTTTGAAACCATAACACTAACCCTTATTGAGGGCAAAGTGTAATCAATAGAAGAAATTACTAAAATAAAAATCTAATCTATCAGGTCATATTCCAAAATGGAAAGCTAGTTTTGAGAAGCCTTACTATTTTTAAAACTGTGAGTGTTACAAAGGTATATTCCTAATAATAACTAATTGCCGCTGTTTAATTGTGAGGGGACAAATTTAGAGGATTACAACAGCTGTGTTTTACAGTATTTCCCTACATATATACAAAAGATAAAGAGATTTTTTTGTGCTCCAAATGAGGGCAAAATTAGAAAACTCACTTCTGTCTTGAACAGTTGAGTATGTTACTTAAGAAGAAACTTGATCACAGCAAACGATTGCCTTACCAGTGAAAAAGGCACACGATGTAACAGCTAAAAAACAGATGTGGTTCTAAATGTTTGACAAAACAGTTCTAATCCTGTCAATTATTATAGATTTTATAGTTGCCGCACTGACAACTTCTTACCACAGTTTGAGAAGACAAACTGTTTAAAAAATTATTTTACTGAAATTAGTCCATGAAAAAGTATTCTAATATATTTTCTTCTGAAATGGATGGGAGGAATGTAAATGTGATAGCAGTGTTATTTATCCTGGTTCAATTCTAATAACATGCCATGTAGTTTTCACGTTATTGTTAGTAAAAACTTCCTCCTCCTTCTCCCTCTTCCTAAAAAAAAAAAATTAGGGAGCGTTGACTGAGTCTGGCATGGGGAAGAGATGTCTAGAGTGATAATCCAAAGGCTTCACTTTGCAAAGTGAAAAAGAATGTTCTGGGCAGAGAAAAGAGCATGTGCACTAGCCTTAGGGCTAGAGGAAACATGTTCGTGAAGTGTTGCTGGAGCCCTGGGGGAGAGGCAGAATATAGTGGTAGAGGCTATAAGGGAGACCAGGATGGAGCAGCCAGAGAGACTGAAGGGACAGCTGGAGAAAGAGTGAGTAGGGATGAGAGTTTTAAGAAAGATGAACATTGTGATATGTTGTGGAAAGAGTAAATACAATGAGAATTAGAAAATCTTATTAGATTTAGTAGCACAATAGGGTTATAGGTGATATTAGCGAGAAATGGTTTGACAGAATAGATTGAGAAATGAGGAGCCTCTGAAAAAGTTGACTTGAGAAGAGAAAGAGGTTGGTAGCTGGAGGGAGGTGGAAAGTTGGGAAAAATTGTATTAAATATATTTTTATTGATTTTTATAGAGAGCGGAAGGGAGAGAGAGATAGAAACATCAGTGAGAGAGACACATCAATTGGCTACCTCCTGCACACCCCCAATGGGGACTGAGCCTGCAACCTGAGCATGTACCCTGACCAGGAATCAAACCGGCGACCTCTTGGTCCATGGGTCAACGCTCAACCACTGAACCACACCAGCTGGGCTAAATTTTTTATTTATTTAATGGGAGAGACTTAAGCTCAGTGAAAAGCTGTGGGAAGAATTATTGAGACGGGAAGTTGACTATGTAATAGAGAGAAGGGCTAGTCAGTGTTTTAGGGTTCCTAAAATGGCCGGAGATAATAGAATCTAAGGCAGAGTGATTAGCCTTAGATAATGGAGAGAAACCTCCTCTTGGAACTGGAATGAAGGAACTAGAATGAACTAAAAGAGCACATAGATGCAAATGTAAGTTGATTATATGGTTTCTGTTTTCTCTGTGAGTTAGGAGATACGTTGTCTACTGAGTGAAGGGAGAGGCTGAGATGGGTTGGAGCTCAGAGTACAGAAGGTAGTGAGAGTAAGGGCCCATAAGGAGTTGGTGTTCATATATTTCTGGTGGAACATATCCACCCTGTTTCTTCAAAAGGGTTTCATGACTCAGGTAAAAGTTTGGAGAAAAAAATTAATTAATGACTGTGTTTTTGCCAGACAGTTGAATTGAGGCTTTTAGCAAGAATGTTATTGAAATGGTGGATCATGGAATCAAAGCTTGAGGAGAGGAGAATTGGAAAAAAAAAAAAAAAAGGCTCATAGACTGGGAAAAGCATATGTAGAGGAGGTAGTTGATTTTGGGGGTCCCTTTATTTTATTGAGCTATAGTTCCCATACCATAGAATTCACCCTTTTAAAGTGTACAATTCAGTGGCTTTTAGTCTTTTTAGTTGTGTAACCATGTAATTCCAGAACATACTCATCACCTCAAAAAGAAATCCTGTACTCATTCCCTCTTCACCTGGCAACCACTAATCTACATTATGTAGGTATTGATTTGTCTATTTTGGACATTTCATGTAAGTGGAATAATAATATGTGTCTTGTGTATCTGGCTTATCTTAATGTTTTCAAGGTTCATCCATGTTGTAGCAGTATCAGTACTTCATTCCTTTTCATGGCATAATAATTCATCACCTGGATATATTATATTTTTATGTACATATTCATCAACTGATGGACATTTTGGATTGTTTTCACTTTTTGGCCATTAGTAATGCTACTATGAACATTTGTGTACAAGTTTCTGTATGAATATGTTTTAAATTCTCTTTGGTATATACCAATGTTGTGGGACAGTGAGGAATGGCATCAGGTGTTAGACTGGTGGGGTCAGATCGAACCTGGGTTTAGCAACCTTGGTACTTGAGTTCTAGCTAGGGAAGAATTCAGAGCTAAGACTCAAACTATAAATTCAGAGCTAAGACTCAAACTATAAGAGATTTATTTGGAAAATAACAGGGGTAAAAGAAATGGGCTTAGGAAACAAGTTATAGAGATAAAGGAAGGGCCCTTGGAGCTTGGAAGTGAGGAAGGTAATGGTAATGCATTTGAGGGGGCGGGGGGAAGGAAAGGTGGCTCCTGGGAAGGAGAGTTTGAACCATCTGGCTCCTCCATTCTAAGGGTTTTAAAGGTGAAAATTTCAGGGGAGGTCCCAGGAGAAGATTTTAATAAAATATTCATCAGCTTTCCAGGTGTGTCCTTTCAGGGTCGGGGTCTTCACTGATTAATTGGTAGGTGCCAGAGCAGGGGATCATTATCCAGTGCAGCTGGTCCTGAGGTCAGCCATGGGGTCACTTGTCTGGTTTTGCTGCTTTTCTGGGCCTGGGACTGAAATGCAAACAAGGCCAAGATGTTATCTTTAGGGGGAAAAGGTCAGGGTCCAAACCACATAACCAGTGATATGCTAGGGCAGGAGAGGTCACCTTGGGGGTGAGGTCCCACCTACAATTGTCTTTTGCTAGGCACCCGGGGCTTTCCCCCTGATGACCTTCTGTACCTGGCCCATTGTCCTTGTTTTGTTCATGTCTGTCTAATCGCCTACCATACCAAGGAGTGGAATTTCTGGATCAGATGGTAACTCAGTATTTAACAACTTAAACTGTCAAACTGTTTTCCAAAGTGGCTGCACCATTTTACATTTCTACCAGCAGTGTATGAGGGTTCCAATTTACTCACATCATTACCAACATTTGTCATTGTCCATCTTTTTCTTTTCAAGATTTTTTAAATTGCTTGAGAGAGAGAGAGAGAGAGAGAAACATTGATGTGAGAGTCTTATATCGATATGCTGCCTTCTGCACACCCTCTATCCGGGATTGAGCCTGCAACCCCAGGCATGTGCCCTGACCGGGAATCGAACCAGCAACCTTTTGGTGCACGGGATGATGCCCAAACAACTGAGTAACACCAGCCAGGGCTGTCCATCTTTTTTTTAATTAATATTTTTCTTTACTGATTTTAGAGGGGGAGAGAGAGAAACATAGATGAGAGAGAACGTTGATTGGTCACCTACATGCCCCCACTGGGGTTCAGGACCACAACCTAGGCATGTGCCCTGACCAGGAATGGAACTGGAGACCACCTGGTGTATGTATGGGTCGATGCTCAACCACTGAGCCACACGGGCCGTGCTGTCCATTTTTTTTATTATAACCATCTTACTGGGTGTGTTTGGGTACTTTAAAACAATTATGTATGTAAGTGACACATGAATTTTTTTCTTATATTAACATTATATAAATAAATCAGGCCCAAAACCCTGTGACCTCCACCCCAGTCAATTCCTATACCTTACCTAGAAGGAACAGTTGTTTTCAGTTTGGTATAGATTTTTCCAGAATTTACAAAAAAAATCTCAATGTAGATAGCCTTCTATTAGCCTTCTTATAGTAATCCAACTATTTTCATAGAAACTAAAATAAATGAGATTAATTTTTTTCTTTCCAACCTCTGATTGTAAAATATAACATTTTTCTGAGATTTCAACATTCATTAGTAAAAATCATATTAAACAAACAAATCAACTAAATTCCTATAGATAAAGGTTTATTGTCTTATATATTATAGATTTTTATTTTATTTTATTTTATTTATTTTATTTTATTTTTTTATCCTCACCCGAGTACATTTTTCTATTTTTTGTTCAGGTAGAGTGGGAGGGGGAAAGAGGAAGAGAGAGAGAAACATCGATGTGAAAGGGACACATCGAGTGGCTGCCACCCGCACGACCAACCAGGGCCGGGGACAAACTGCAACCGAGGTACATGCCCTTAGCGGGAACCGAACCCCGGTCTCTCAGGACCGCAGGCCGACGCTCTAACCGCTGAGCCAAACTAGCCAGGGCTATATATTATAGCTTTTTAAATGACAGCTATTGGTCTTCATGTATTGAAACATTAGCAGTAAAACTAATATTTTCTTCTTCTTAGTGCCTGGCTTTCTGGCTATGAAAACCCTGTGGTGTCTCGAATTAATATGAGAATACAAGATCTAACAGGACTAGATGTTTCTACAGCAGAGGAATTACAGGTGGGTAATTACATTATCCTTGAATTATATGCTGTCACATTATCCTCAAGCTATCTTTGCCCTCCTTCAGAAGATGCTTCAGATGAGATTTCCTGATACTGCACAGGCAGTACTCAATTTAATCAAGCTGAACCCATATAAAGTAATGATTTTAATAATCAGTAGGAAAATTATGATTGTTTCAGTGTACCCTAATTTTGTAGTTATGTACTAGGGTACATAAAATGTACCCTAGTTTTGTTCCTGGAAGGGAGACCAGGCCTTTGTGCAAAACATTAAAAACTGTTAACTGTCGAGTATAAATTTATAGGGAGATGAAAAATATGTAACACTAATATTTACTTATTAATTAAAAAATGTTTTTTTCTTTATTGATCTTAGAGAGGAAGGGAGAGAGAGATAGAAACATTGATGAGAGCAAACATCAATGACTACCTCCTGCCTGCCCCCCCCCCCCCCGGGGATTTGGCCCACAACCTGGGCATGTGCCCTGATGGGGAATTGAACCGGCAACCTCTTGGTGTGTGGGTCCATGCTCAACCACTGAGCCACACCAGCCAGGCAGTAACACTAATATTTATCAAGTACATTGTAATTTTTTTTTCATTCCTAGGCCTGTGAGGCAACTAGGGCAGTTCTTTAAAAAAAAAAAAAATTTATTTTTTCTCTTTTCTATTGAGATATAATTCATATACCATAAAATGTGCCCTAGTTTTGTTCCTGGAAGGGAGACCAGGCCTTTGTGCAATCACCAAAACTGTCTAATTCCAGAACATTTTCATCACCCCAGAAAGAAACATATATTTTAAGTACAGGCATACCTTGCAGATATTTTGGGTTCCGTTTCAGACCACAGCAATAAAACGAATATCTCAATAAAGTGATCTCACACCAATTTTTTGGTTTCCCAATGCATATAAAAGTTAGGTTTACACTATACTGTAGTCTTTTAAGTGTATAGTAGTATTATGTCTAAAAAAGCAATGTACATTTCTTAATTTGAAAATATTTTATTGCTTAAAAATGCTAACTCATTTGAGCCTTCAGTAATCTTTTTGCTGGTTGTTGCAGAGTCTTGCCTCCGTGTTGATAGCTGTTAACTGATCAGGGTGGTGGTGGGTAAAGGTTGGGGTGGCTGTGGCAATTTCGTAAAATAAGACAACAATGAAGTCTGCCACACTGATACATTCTTCCTTTCACAGATGAGTTCTCTGTAGTATGCAATGTTGTTTGATAGCATTTTAGCCATAGTAGAACTTCTTTCAGAATTGGAGTCAGTCCTCTCAGACCCTGCCTTTGCTTTATTAACTAAAGTTATGTAATATTCTAAATCCTTTGTTGTCATCTCAAGAAACCACTTTCTTTGCTCATCCATAAAAATGCAACGCTTGAGATTGCAGCAGTTCAGGCACATCTTTAGGCTCCACTTCTAATTCTAGTTCTCTTGCTGTTTCCACCACATCAGCAGTTACTTCATCCACTGAGGTCATCCATGAGCATTGGAATCACCTTCTTCCAAACTGCTGTTAATGTTGCTATTTTGACCTCTTCCCATTAATCCCACATGTTCTTTTTGTTCCCCACACTACACACACATGCATACATAAATATGTGTATGTTTATCCATTTATCCTACATATACTTATTTTTATTTTATTTGAAATTTTGTTAATTTATTTTTGTTACAGATGTTTCTTCTTCTTCTTCCCTGCTAGATACCCTCCTCCCCATCCGCCCCCCACCCCCTCACCCCCCGGCACTGTCGTCTATGTCCATTGGTTACACATACGTGCATATAAGTTCTTTGGTTTATCTCATCCCAACCCCCCTCCTCTGAGGTTTGTTAGTCTGAACCATACTCCTTCTACGTCTCTGGGTCTGTTTTGTTCATTAGCTTATTTTGTTCATTATATTCCACAAATAAGTGAGATCATGTGGTTTTTGTCTTTCTCTGACAGGCTTATTTCGCTTCACATAATGCTCTCCAGGTCCCTCAATGTTGTCTTAAAGGATTAGAGATCTCTCTTTCTTATAGCTGTATAGTGTTCCACTATGTATGTGTATAACAGCTTCTTTATCCGCTCATTTGTTGATGGACACTTGGGCTGTTTCCAGATCTTAGCAATTGTAAATAGTGCTGCTATGAACATAGGGGTACATATATTCTTTCTGATTGGTATTTCAAGCTCCTTAGGGTATATTCCTAGAAGTGGGATCACTGGGTCAAATGGCAGTTCCATTTTTAATTTTTTGATGAAACACCATATTGTTTTCCATAGTGGCTATACCAGTCTGCATTCCCACCAGCAGGGTACTAGAGTCCCCTTTTCTCCACATCCTCACCAGCACTTGTTGTTTGACGATTTGTTGATGGCAGCCATTCTGACAGGTGTGAGGTGATACCTCATTGTTGTTGTTGTTTTTTATCCTCACCCAAGGACATTTTTTCGTTTTTTGTTCAGATAGAGTGGGAGGGAGGGAGAGGAAGAGAGAGAGAGAGAGAGAGAGAGAAACATTGACGTGAAAGGGACACGAGTGGCCGCCACCCGCACGACCAACCAGGGCCGGGGACAAACTGCAACCGAGGCACATGCCCTTAGCGGGAACCGAACCCTGGTCTCTCTGGACCGCTGGCTGATGCTCTAACTGCTGAGCCAAACTGGCCAGGGCTCATTGTTGTTTTAATTTGCATCTCTCTAATGATTAGTGACATTGAGCATTTTTTCATATATCTCTTGGCCATTTGTATATCCTGTCTGGAGAGGTGTCTATTTAGGTCCTCTGCCCATTTTTTAATTGGGTTTTTTGTCTGTCTTTTGTTGAGTTGTATGAGCACTCTGTATATTTTGAAAATTAACCCCTTATCTGATGTATCGTTGGCAGTTATGCTCTCCCATATATTGGGTTCCTTTTCCATTTTGATGGTGGTTTCTTTTGCTGAGCAGAAGCTTTTTGGTTTGATGTAGTCCAATGTGTTCATTTTTTCCTTTGTTTCTCTTGCCTTAGGCGTTATATCAGTAAAAATTCTGCTGCGTGTGATGTCTGAAATTTTGTTTTACATTTTCATTTGTTTTACATTTACATTTTCTTCTAGGATTTTTATTTATTTATTTATTTATTTATTTATTTATTTATTTATTTATTTATTTATTTATTTATATTCTCACCTGAGGACATTTTTGCATTTATCTTCAGGAGGTAGAGATGGGGGGCGGGGAGAGAAACGTCGATCTGAGAGAGACACATTGACTGGTTGCCACCCACATGACCCCAACCGGGGCCAGGGACAAACTGCAACTGAGGTACATGCCCTTAGCGGGAACTGAACCCAGGACTCTGGTCTGCGGGCTGATGCTCTAACCCCTGAGCCAAACTGGCCAGGGCTCTTCTAGGATTCATAAGTCACATTTAAGTCTTTTATCCATTTTGAGTTTATTCTTGGTGTATAGTGTAAGTTGGTCGTCTAGTTTCATTTTTTTGCATGTAGCTGTCTAATTTTCCCAGCACCATTTATTAAAAAGGCTAACTTTACTCCATTGTATACTCTTGCCACCTTTGTCAAATATTAGTTGATATACTTTTTTTTTTTTATCCTCACCCGAGGACACTTTTCCATTTTCTGTACAGATAGAGCGGGAGGGAGAGGAAGAGAGAGAGAGAGAAACATCGACGTGAAAGGGACACATCGAGTGGCTGCCACCCGCACGACCAACCAGGGCCGGGGACAAACTGCAACCGAGGTACATGCCCTTAGCGGGAACCGAACCCGGGTCTCTCCGGACTGCAGGCCGATGCTCTAACCGCTGAGCCAAACCGGCCAGGGCAGTTGATATACTTTTTAAAAACTTTTTCTTTTTAATAATTTTATAAAATTTATTTATTGATTTATTTTTAGAGAGAAGAGAGGAAGGGAAACAGAGGAGAGAGAAAAACATTGATTTGTTGCTCCACCCATTTTGCATTCATTCATTGGTTGTTTTTGAACATACCCTGACCGGGGATTAAACCTGCCAACTTTGGTGTATTGAGATGATGCTCCAACCAACTGAGCTACCCTGCCAGGGCAATAATTTTTTATTTTTCAATTATAGTTGATGTACAATATCATATTAGCTTCAGGCGTACAATCAAGTGATTAGAAGTTATCACCCTGATAAATCTAGAACCAATCTGACACCATACATAGTTATTAAATATTATTGGCTATGTTCTCTATGCTGTACTTTACATCCCTATGAGTATTCTATAACTACCAATTTGTATTCTTAATCCCTTCACCCTTTTCACCCACCCTTTCTATTCCCCCTCCCATCTGACAACCATCAAAATGTTGTTTGTATCTATGAGTCTGCTTCTGTTCTGCTTATTTATTTTCTTTTTTCGATTCCACATTTAAGTAAATCATACAGCATTTGAATTTCTTATCTGACTTATTTCACTTAGCACAGTACCCTCTAGGTCCATCCATGTTGCAGATGGCAAGATTTCTTTTTTTTTTTTTGGCTGTCATATTCCATTGTATATATGTACCACTTCTTTGTCCAACCATCTATTGATGGACACTTAGATTGCTTCCATATCTTGGCTGTTGTGAATAATACTTCAATGAACATATGGATGATAGATATGTATTTATTGCTACTTTATTCATATTTTTTTTATCTTTTTTTTTTCTTCCTTCATTTATTTATTTATTTTTCTTCTTCTTTTAAAAGAAAATCTTTTAACATTCCTTATAATACTGGGTTTGGCAGTGATGTATTCCTTTAGCTTTTTCTTCTCCGGGAAGCTTTTAATCTGTCCTCTTATTCTAAATGAGAGCTTTGCTGGGTAGTGTGCTTGTAGATCCTTGCTTTTCATCACTTTGAATACTTCGTGTCAATCTCTTCTGGCCAAAAATGTTTCTGTTGAGAAAGCAGCTCACAGTCTTATGGGAACTTCCTTTTAGGTAATTATTTTTCTCTTGCTGCTTTTAAGATTCTTTGTCTTTAACCTTTGGCATTTTAATTATGACGTGTCTTGGTATGGGCATCTTTTTTTTTTTTTTTTAATCCTCACCCGAGGACACTTTTCCATTTTTTGTTCAGATAGAATGGGAGGGAGAGAGAGGAAGAGTGAGAGAAACATCAATGTGAAAGGGACACATCGAGTGGCCGCCACCCACACGACCAACCAGGGCCGAGGACAAACTGCAACCGAGGTATGTGCCCTTAGTGGGAACCGAACCCAGGTCTCTGGACCGCAGACCGACACTCTAACCGCTGAGCCAAACCAGCCAGGGCAGTGTGGGCATCTTTGGGTTTATCTAGTTTGGGTTTTCTGTGCTTCCTGGACTTGTGTGTCTTTTTCCATCACCAGATTAGGAAATTTTCAGCCATTATTTTTTAAAACAGGTTCTCGATCCCTTGCTCTCTTCTTCTGGTACCATGTGATGTTTCTTCACCCTTCCTACCAGTCTATGTGGCTTCTAAGTAAATCCTTGGTTATAATATTTCTGTTCAGCTAGCCTTCAGTTAGTTATTCAGCTGTAAATCCACTTTGGTGCAAGGGGAGGTGAGTGTAGCTTCAAATTACTTTGCAGCCACCTTCAAAATAGGTAGAGTTTTTGAACAGCAAAAGTAGAAACATTTCATGTAGCTATTTCTTCTATATATACATTTAGGTGTGATTTGAGTTTCACTTAAAGCATTATTGCTTTCCACTTATGTTGTACTTTATCTTTGTTGGTCAGTTCCCTTTTCCAATTATACATTTTTGTAAAATACCACATGAGTTTTCACTGGGAGATAAGAAGGCAGTGTAATTACATGATTTAATCTCTGTATGTTATTCATACCAAATAACAGATGCACACTGATAATCACTGATAGACTTTGAAAGAAGTGATGTGATGGGTCATTGATAATGACATGCCGCTGTTAGTTACATAACAATCTGTGGACTGAAGGCCTAGCAGCAACATTTGTACCTTATGCATTTTCACAATATACCGTGGTAACTGAAATTTCAACTGTGTTGTCGGAATCTGGTGTTAATTGTTAGCTAAACCTGTTATCTGAGATTTGTACATTGTGGAATTGGGCAAAGCAGGGCTGCTTATGTTTAAATTTGCTAATTGTCATTTATTTCATGGTAATCTCCAACTTCCTTGGTATTCATTTGATTATTAGAAACTCTTTGATATGTCTCCTTCTTTCCTGATCTGTATTTATTTTCACCTGTTTAACCTTCACAGGCTCTTTTAGGCTACTTGATATATTTCTACTTAATAGGTTGATCCAACCCAAGGTGTCTAAAACATAAGAAGTAAAATACCCAGAGTAATACTAATTTATATTGGATTTGGACTTTGCTGTGGTCAACAGTCTTTTAATTATTCCTCACTTCACTTCATCAGCATTACTCTTAATTTTCCTTTTATTTTTGTCAGCATTTTATCATATTGGGACGGAAGGAGAGTACAGGAAGGTGTCATTTTTCTTATTTTACAAGTGAGAAAAATTGAGATTTTTATCCAAAGTTACATATATTGTAACTGAGAATGACAGAATTTGAACTTAGACCAAATAGTTTTCTTAACTTTCTTTTGCTGCTTCACTCTAGGACATTGTCATAACCAACTGAAGTTGTTGGAGCCCTCTAGCAGGAATAATTAAGTTGGTGTTAACTTAGTCTCTCCTTTACCTTAGGGAAAAAAAATGTGTGGGAAAAGGGATTTTATTAAAGTATATTGGGAGTCTGCCAGCATTTTGGGCTTTGGAAAACATGTCTTGATTTAAATTCCAAAGGAAAGTGTTTAGTGAAAATTAATCATAGAAATCTCATAATTCTAGTTCTAGAAAATTTTAATTCTAAAATTCTAATTCAAATTTTAGTTTAAGTTATATGTTAGAGAAAAATATGTCCCCCAAACATTTGCTAAAGAAAAGCATATTAACTAAGGTTCTAAAAACGCATATAGTAGCTATCCATGGTTTTTCATCCTTGGTTCCTAAGGAGCTGTCATTGATTTAAAATGCTTTACTCCTCATTTCTCTAGAAGTACCTAACCACAATATATAACAGGCCAAATGGGACTCAGATTTTTTTTAATAGTAATCTTGGTAATTCTTTCATTCATGCTTTGTTTCTCTCCTTCAGGTAGCAAATTATGGAGTGGGAGGACAGTATGAACCCCATTTTGATTTTGCACGGGTAAGTAAAAAAAAAAAAAAAGAGAGAGAGAGAGAATGTAAGAGTTCCACTGAAGCTTAGACATGACATGTTAATTCTGTTCTTTAGTATTAAAAATTCATAACCTAGCCCAAGTGCCCACCAGTAGATGAGTGGATTAAAAAACCCTGCCCGGTTTGGCTCAGCGGTTAGAGCTTTGGCCTGCAGTCCCGAGAGACCCGGGTTTGGTTCCCGCTAAGGGCATGTACCTCGGCTGCAGTTTGTCCCCGGCCCTGGTTGGGTTGTGTGGGTGGCGGCCACTTGATGTGTCCCTTTCATGTTGTTTCTCCTCTCCCTCCCTCCCGCTCTATCTGAGTAAAAAATGGAAACTTGGGTGAGGATAAAAAAAAAAACAAAAAAAAAACTGTGGAATACTACTCAACCATAAAAAAAGATGGAAATCTTACCCTTTGAAGAGCATGGATGGATCTGGAGAGCATTATGCTAAGTGAAATAAGCCAGTCAAAGAAAGACAAGTACCATATAATTTCACTCATATGTGGAATCTAATGAACAAAATGAACTAACAAACAAAATAGAGACTGGCTCATGGATAGAGAGCAGGCTGACAGTTCTTTGGAGGGGATGGAGGGACTGAGCAAAAAGAAAAAACTCATGGATACAGACAACAGTGTGATGATTGCTGGGGAGCAGAAGTAGTAGGGGGAGGTGGAGGAGGGTATATGAAGGATAAATGGTGATGGACAGAGACTTGACTTGGACTGGTGCACAGATGATGTGTTGTAGAATTGTGCACCCGAAACCTGTATAGTATTGTTAACCAGCGTCACCCCAATAAATTCAATAAAAAGGAAAAAAACCAGCTTATTTGTAATTAATGGAAGCATGGTGCAATAAATACTCTGTAAAGCCTTTTAGCAGTGAAGAACACCTAGATGCACAGTAAAATAATATAGAATTTTTTTTAACTTATCTTTATTGTTTAATGTATTACAGATCCCGTCATTTCCCCGCATTGACCTCCTCCTCTCTACTCCCACCCTCTTCCTGCCTTCCCCACACTATTGTCTGTGCCCATTGGTTATGCATATATACATATAAGTTCTTTGGTTTATCTCTTCCCACCCCCATCCCCCTTCCCTTTGCAGTTCATCAGTCTAAACCAATTTGTACTTCTCAATTTCTTCTCCTTTTTCACCCATCTTCAACCCTCTCCCATCTGGCAACCAACTAAAAGTTCTCTGTATCTATGAGTCTGTTTCTGTTGTGCTTGCTCATTTTGTTTGTAGATTCAATTATTGATAGATCTATATTTATTGCCATTTTATTGTTCATATATTTTTTTTGTTCTTCAAGAAGACCCATCAACATTTCACATAATACTAGTTTGGTGTGATGAACTCCTTTAGCTTTTTCTTGTCTGGGAAACTCTTATATGTCCATCGATTCTAAGTGATAGCTTTGCAGGATAGAGTAATCTTAGTGGTAGGTCCTTTCTTTTCATCACTTCGAATCTCTTACCATCCCTTTCTGGCCTGCAAAGTTTCTTTTGAGAAATTGGCTGACAGTCTTATGGGATCTCCTTTGTAGGTGACTGACTGCTTTTCTCTTGCTGCTTTTAAGATTCTTTCTTTGTCTTTAACCTTTTGCATTTTGATGATGATGTGTCTTGGTGTACACCTGTGGGTTCATCTTCTTTGGGACTCTGTGCTTTCTAGGCTTGTATGTCTGTTTCCTTCACCAAGTTAGGGAAGTTTTCTGTCATTATTTTTTCAAATAGGTTTTCAATTCTTTGCTCTGTCTCTTCACCTTTCGGCACCCCCATGATGCAAATATTGATACACTTGAAGTTGTCCCAGAGGCTCCTTACACTCTCATTTTTTTGGATTCTTTGTTCTGATTGGGTATTTTTTGCTTCCTTATGTTCCAAATCGATGGTTTGCTTCTTGGCTTCACTTACTCTACTATTGGTGCTCTGTAAATTATTCTTTATTTCAGTTAGTACATTCTTCATTTCTGATTGGTCCTTCTTTATGCTCCTAAGGCCCTCACTATATTCCTTGACATTCTCACCAAGTTCCGTGAGCATCCTTATAACCAGTGTTTTGAACTCTGCATCTGTTAGATTGCTTTTCTCTATTTTGTTTAGTTCTTTTTCTGGAGTTCTGTTCTCTTCTTTCATTTGGGACATGATTCTTTGTCTCTTCCTTTTGGCTGCCTCCCTCTATGTATTAGGTAGAGTTGCTATGTCCCCTAGGCTTTGTAGGGTAGCCTATTGTAGCAGGTGTCCCATAGGGTCCAGTGGCACAGCCTCCCTGGTTACCCCAGCTGGGCCCTCAAGGTGCACCCCTCGTGTGGACTGTATATCCTTCTGTTGTAATTGAGTCTTGATTGCTGTTGGCACATCAATGGGAGGGATTTACTCAGGCTGATCAGCTGCAAGGACTGGCTGTACCAACTGACCACTGACCTCTGACCACCTTGGAGGATCAGCTGTGTAGGGACCCAGCACACAGAACAAGACTTACTTTAGCAGGATTCTGGTACCCAGTGAGTCCACTCCTTGAGTATGTTGCTTGTGGAGGTGGTTGGGTGGTGGTGCTTTGACATGGTCTGAAGCAGTCCCCTGGGTGTGCTGGCTCTGAGACAAGGTCAGCCACTGCCTGTGTTCTACCTGGGGCCACCAGGCATAAGCTACAAAGTGATTTGCAGATGGCCGCTTCTCATGCTGGGCTTGGAGGTACCCAGGCAAAGCCAAAATGTGAACAAAGGCCCGACGCTTCTAGTGCCAGGCCTAGTGCCACTTAGCCAGAGGTATGGGGCTTGCTGAGGCCAGATGCTGTGAGATAATTTAGGGAAAATCTGAAGCAGGATTTAAGACAGGCCAATCCTATGGTAAAGCCACTGGAAACAGCTTGGGTGGACCTGAAAGTTGGGTGGAGCAGGGAGGGCCTCAGGGAATCGCCAGGGCAGGGCAAACAGTGTGAGCCAGGTTGCTGGAGTCCCAGATATGTTGCCCGCCTGCCTGCCCCATGGGGGAAGAGCTCACCAAAGGAACAATGGCCTCCATAAGTAAGTCTGTCTGGAAGAGAGCTGCCTCTCCAGCTGTCTGTCACCCTAATGCCAAACATGTTAATTCTTCCCCATATGTCTCTGGTGCCTTTCAAGCTCCCTTCCCCATACTAGAGCCTGGAGGGAGTGAGGTTTGAGTAAGTTGGTGTGTGGACCCTTTAAGAGGAACTACCTGGGACTCCATCAGCCTCAGTCTCCCTCAGACTCAATACCCGCTGGCTTTTATAGCCAGAGTTATGGGGCCTTCTCTTCCTGGTACTAGAACTCTGAGCTGGGGAGCCTGGTGTAGGATGGGGACCCTTTGCTCCTCAGAGAGGACCTCTCCAGCCAAGGTAGTCCTGATTTTTTAAAAAATTAATTTATTTTTGTTACAGATGTTTCTCCTTTAACCCTCTAGACATCCTCTTCCTGAAACCACCCCCCACCCCCCAGCATTGTTGTCTGTGTACCTTGGTTATGCATATGTGCATACAAATTCTTTGGTTTATCTCATCCTTCCCCCAACCCCCTCTTCTTAGGTTTGTCAGTCTGAACTGTACTCCTTTCTATGTTTCTGGGTCTATTTTTTTATTAGCTCATTTTGTTCATTATATTCCACATATAAGTGAGATCATGTGGTATTTGTCTTTCTCTGACTGGCTTATTTTGCTTTGCATAATGCTCTCCAGGTCCCTCCATGTCATCTTAAAGGATAAGAGATCTCTCTTTCTTACAGCTGCATAGTGTTCCATTGTGTATATGTACAACAGCTTTTTTATCCGCTCATCTATTGATGGACACTTGGGCTGTTTCCAGATCTTAGCAATTGTAAATAGTGCTGCTATGAACATGGGGGTACATATATTCTTTTTGATTGGTGTTTCAGGCTTCTTAGGGTATATTCCTAGAAGTGGGATCACTGGGTCAAATGGCAGTTCAATTTTTAATTTTTTGTTGAAACACAATATTGTTTTCCTTAGTGGCTGCACCAGTCTACATTCCCACCAGCAGGGTTCTAGAGTCCCCTTTTCTCCACACCCTCACCAGCACTTATTGTTTGACGGCAGACATTCTGGCAGGTGTGAGGTGATTCCTCATAGTTGTTTTAATTTGCATCTCTCTGGTGATTAGTGATGTTAAGCATTTTTTCATATATCTCTTGGCCATTTGTATGTCCTTTTTGGAGACATGTCTGTTTAGGTCCTCTGCCCATTTTTTAATTAGGTTCTTTGTCTTCCTTTTGTTGAGCTGTATGAGTACTCTCTCTATATAGGAAATTAACCTCTTATCTGATCTATTGTTGACAATTATGCTCTCCCATATAGTGGGTTCCCTTTCTATTTTGATGGTGGTTTCTTTTGCTGTGCAGAAGCTTTTGAGTTTGATGTAGTCCCATGTGTTCATTTTTTTCCTTTGTTTCTCTTGCCTTAGGCATTGTATCAGTGAATATTCTGTGTGTGATGTCTGTAATTTTGTTGTCTACATTTTCTTCTAGGATTTTTATGGATTCATGAGTCACTTTTAAGTCTTTTATCCATTTTGAGTTTTTTCTTGTGTATGGTGTAACTTGGTGGTCTAGCTTCATTTTTTTGCAAGTAGCTTTCCAATTTTTCTTTTTTTTTTTTTTTATCCTCACCCGAGGACATTTTTCCATTTTTTGTCCAGGTAGAGTGGGAGGGAGAGAGAGGAACAGAGAGAGAGAGAGAGAAACATCGATGTGAAAGGGACACATCGAGTGGCTGCCACCCGCACAACCAACCAGGGCCGGGGACAAATTGCAACCGAGGTACGCGCCCTTAGCGGGAACCGAACCCGGGTCTCTCAGGACCGCAGGCCTACGCTCTAACCGCTGAGCCAAACCGGCCAGGGCAGCTTTCCAATTTTTCCAGCACCATTTATTAAAGAGGCTGTCTTTACTCCATTATATGCTCTTGCTACCTCTGTCAAATATTAATTGAACATAATGACTT